CTGTGGCCTTAATTTTCTTCTTAACTGAGACTTGCTCTTCCGTATCTTCGCTATAGCCCAAAAACCTTCCTCTTAATTTCCTAGTGCGCTGTCTCCACTTTGTGTCTACACTCCTCATGTATAAATAGCTGAAAACCTTTCGTGCCCATTGCTCCCCATCCATTAGCCTCAACCTATCCTCAAATTCTACCTTGCTCACCGCTTCCCTGCTCTCAAATGATGCCCATCCCATGTCTCCTTGTACTCCCTGGTTTGGCGTTTTGCAATGCGCCCCCAAAGCCAGTCTACCTACTCCTCGCTGTTTTATTTCTAGTTTCGCATGCACTTCGGATTTCATGCATAGCACTGCGTTTCCAAAAGTCAAGCCAGGCACCATGACCCCTTTCCAAATCTCTCTCACCACCTCATACCTGTTGTAATTCCAAAGTGCTCTATTTTTCATTACAGCTGCATTTCTGTTGCCCTTACCTATTATATACTTTTCATGGTCTCTGAGATATTCTGCACCATCACATATCCATACTCCTAGATACTTGTATTTACTAGCTCTCTCAACTGTAATATTCTGTATCTTCAGCCTCTCAACTTCATCCTCGTTAAAAATCATGACTGCCGATTTTTCGCTACTGAATTCTAAACCTAATTCCTCTCCTTCCCTACCACAGATGCTCATTAATTCCTGCAACTCTGTCCTGTTGTTAGCCATTAGTACAATATCGTCCGCATAAATCAATCCCGGTAAGGATTGCTGAATTTTTTGGCCTAGCTTACTGTAAGAAAGGTTGAACCCAAGCCCACTCTTCTCTAGTCTATCCTCCAATCCTCTCAGATACAACATAAACAGCAAAGGCGATAACGGGCACCCCTGCCTAAGGCCTCGTCTTATCTCTATTTTCCCTGTCGCCTTTCCTTCCCATGTTATAATCACCTTGTTATCTTTGTAAATGTTCCTTAATAGTGCTGTTAGTCCTTCATCTAGGTTTAAGTTCTCCATTATGTCCCACAGGTTTCTTTGGTTCACATTGTCATAGGCACCCTTGATATCCAGAAATGCCAGCCAGAGCTGTCTGTTTTCTTTTTGCGCTATTTCTATACACTGTGTTAGAGAAAATAAGTTGTCCTCCAACCTTCTTTGTTTTCGAAACCCGTTCTGTAACTCGCCCAGTATGCCCTCGCAATCTACCCATTCCTCCAGTCTGTTCTTTATAATCTGCATTACCAACCTGTAAATAACCGGTGTCACGGTTATAGGACGATAATTCCTAATATCAGACTTATCTCCCTTTCCCTTATATATCATACTCATCCTACTAAGCCTCCATTCATCTGGAATATTTCCTTTTGTTATCATGGTACTCACTACCTCCCTTAGTTTTGCCTTAGATTTAGGACCCAAATTCTTCACCAGCTTGATAGGGATACCATCTGTGCCTGTCGACGTGCCACTAGGGACTCTTCGTTCCGCCTTTTCCCATTCTCTTTGTCCAAAATCCGCGATGTCACAAACTGGACTGCTACTTCCTTCGGTTCTCCTATCTTCCACATGTACCCGTTCCCAAAATTTCTCCTCCATCACTGCTCCTATATATTGTATCGCATCATCTCCCTCTAATTGATCTCCCTGATGCGAGAGTATAAACCTCTGTCTAGCTTGCGTTGTTTCACCGAGTGAGTTCAAGTGCTCCCAAAACTTCTTGGCAGCATTTCTATCTTTCTTACTTACATTACTCATCCATTCCTCACCCTTTCTCTGAATTTTCGCATTGATCAAACTGGATGCCTCTCGACGACATGTTACAAAATTGTCCCATTTTCTTTTTACTTCCGTTTCGGACTCCCCACTACGCTTGGAATACCTGTGTTCTCTAGAGGCTTCCTGACGTTTTTGTATCGCTTGCTTCACTTCTTTGTCCCACCAACTTTTTGGTCTATGTCCTTGCTTCCCCTTTCGTTTACTCTTAACTTTGTCTAGTTCTAGAGAAAAAAGCCTAGTTAGGCTCTCATAGGTCCAATCTGTATGCCGTTGCCCTGAAACTGCTGCCTCTATTCTTTCAACAACTATTTCCAACTCTTTGTCGCTGCAGAAAGTTTGCTTTGAATTATGTTGTCTAGTTTCAGCATTTACTTCTCTGGCAAAATTCAGCTTAATACGTTTGTGATCACTACCAAGACTTTTGGAACCTTCTTCATCTATTTTCATTACTTGTAACTTACCATATATTTTGTGTGACATGAGTACATAATCTATAGTTGAATGCAGATTGCCAGTTTCCCAAGTTATGTGCCCGTCACACTTCTGACTGGTATTACATAAAACTAAGTCATGTTTTTCCACCAGTTCTAGTAATATGCTTCCAGTTGAGTCCGTATACCCATCCAGACCCTCAATATGGGCATTCATGTCTCCCATAATAATTATTTCGGAGCCTTCCCCTAGTTCACTAATGTCTCTTGATATGCAATCAATCATTTTTCTGTTTTCCTCTTTAGCACCTGTCCCCGTCCATAAGTAAACCACTCCAAGGACTGTTGATTCCCCAGCGACTTTTCCTTTCAGCCACAAATGTTCGGCGCACTCCTTTCTGATCCTTTGAAAGTTCATATTCTTCTTAATGAATGCTCCAATTCCACCTCCCTTCCTCGTTCCCTCCATTCTGTTGCATTCTTCCCACACATAGTCAGGGTTGCAAGGTGGCTGCTCCATGTCTCTGAGATGTGTTTCCACAAACCCATACACCATTAAATCCTCCTTTCTTAGTTGCTCCTCTACCTCTTCCCATTTTAACCTATTTCTACCACCCTGCATGTTAATATATCCAATGTCTGATTGTGCTGATTTTTTATACCTGTTCTTACGTTTTCTCCTCTTTTTAACCCTGGGTGCCTCTCCTGACTTTGTTGGGTTTTCAACCACAGTGGCAACCACAGTTGGAATCAGCGCCATCCTCGGCAGTTTCCTGAACCTCGCGTAGTCACATTTCAGCCACCGCCACATAGAGGGCGCAACCAGACATCCAATTTGTGTTTTCTGTGTTTTATGATTCTTTTTAATAAATAGGCTCGATCAGTGAAAATGTGGGCTAATAATCAGGACCTGGAACAGTAATCTCCATTTAATACTAAAAATATCGGCCTAAATGTCTGCCAAAAGGGGTCAAAATACTCGTTTTTGACTATCAACAAATACGTGATTTCACCTATATTCAAACCTTTTTTATGGAAAATCAAAAGTGAAATTTAGAAAAAGGGCCTCGCTTTGCAAAGCAGAATATGTTTTTCTTTGCGGGCCTACAATTTTATTCATGTGTGCCAATCCCTAAGCGCTGTACCACTGTACTACCAAATGAAGTTTGCCAAAATTAACGGTTTTTGTCACTTTTCACGTGAGCATTCCGAAAAAAGTTTAAGCCATATTACAATGAAATTTAGCGTAACTCTTTCGACCATAATTACAAACTGATGTAAAAAGTTTCAAATAAAATGACCGAGTAGGCGCCCAAAACTTCGCGACTGAAGTGCTTCCGCAAAGTCAATTTTTCTAAAGTAAATATCTGTCAAAATAAAATAAAAAACGAAAAAAGGGCCTCCGTTGACAATGAACGCACTCTTCTTCTATAACATTCTAAAATTAGAAAGAAATTGCTCCAATAGTGCACCCTGTACCACTGTACTACGAAACCATGTTTTGCCGAAAAGGTCAATGTTCGCGGGTGCCCTCTGAATTAGCTTTTTGCACTAGGAAAACAAATCCTACATCGGATAAAAGATAATGTTGTACACTACAAGATGATATATAACACATAATTTTAGCAAGCTTGAACACGCCACGATCGCATTTCGAAAACGTGCTGAAAGCGTCATATGTCATGGCCGCCGTGGGACCGACGACAACTGATTCATTGCATACAATACGTGGTCCTGTGGGTTCAGGGGCGGATCCAGACCTCCATTTTAGGGGGGGCGGCTCCTCGGTGTAAAACGGCGGGGGGGGGGGGGGCGGGTGTTTATATTTTTTGTGGAGTTATCGTTTTTACTAAACTCTGATAACATAATATAGATCTTGAGAGCTTTTGTATCGGTTTACCTGTCGGGGATGAACTTTTTGAATTAAAACCTTTCGGGTGACCACGCTAGAGGTAAGTATCTAGAAAATTGTGGTGGCACTATCCTTTCTGAACACCATAACGCAAGGAATTTTGTAGTTCATAGAAAACGGGATTACTCCATTCGCGTGGCAGCGGGCTATAAATGGAACAAGAAGTCTAACTACGAAAATAATCCCTGGAGAAGGGGAACAAGATCCCTCTTGTTCCCCTTCTCCAGGGATTATTTTCGTCATTCTTGTCCAGCTCGCTTGCACCTTTGCATTTAATTGCATTATATCATAACCTTAAATTGCAAGCTTCACCCTTGTTGGTTCTTGTTCCCCTTCTCCAGGGATTATTTTCGTCATTCTTGTCCAGCTCGCTTGCACATTTGCATTTAATTGCATTATATCATAACCTTAAATTGCAAGCTTCACCCTTGTTGGTGTTAGACTGATGGCGGCTGATAAAACCCGTCTGCTCTACTGATGTCTAAACCCTGGTTAGCTCAATTGGTAGAGCGCTCCACCTGTAATGGAGAGGTCCCGTGTTCGATACCCGGACCAGGCAGATTTTTTCGGTCGCGCACCAGTCACCTAGCTGTGTTTGGAGATTTGTGTTTGTCCTTTGTCCCTCTTGTACCCCTTCTCCAGGGATTATTTTCGTCGACGTACAAATCACGGTCGAGGGAGCGCACATATAGCCGTTGTTTTACGTTCCGAAGAACCATTAAGTTTTTTTGTATTTTCCTGCCGGCGCCTTTGATCAGAAAAAACGTTCAGCCGGCTCGGGAAGGTGTTGATTATTCTCCGTTAAGCTCGCGCCGTACTTTTTTCTTTTTGTCTTTGAACAACAGGAGCAAAAGAAGTTCGTCCGCGGTAACATAGTGAGCATTCCTTTATTTTCCAGAAGTAGAATGCCAAAAAAAAGTTCAAGAATCTGAAAGATGTGTACTACAGGACAAAAGCGGCGGTTAAAGGAAAGTCCAAGAGTGGCGCTGGGCTTGCGGATATCCCGACTGTGAAGTGGGCACACTTTGAAGAGATGGCAGGGATCGTCGAGCCATTCTCGCAGTCTGCAGTGTAAGTTGTAGTTTAAACCAGGCATGATTGCTGCTTCATGAAGGAGCACACAACTTTTACATGTACCTACTCCGAAATTTTATGGCTGTGTTTTTCAGATATGTATTCAGCCAAAAATACCTGCCATGTTAAACATCAGTATAGTTATGGGTTCTTGTGTAGTTGCCAGTACCTAACTACACATATTTCCTACAGGGTGTACTGCAGCCTACAACATGAAGAAAAAAGCTCAAGGTAAGCAGCAACGTTCAAACCTATCTCTGTGTGTAAAAGCCAACTTCGCTTCTGGGCAGCCAAGAAACACAAACTAGAACAAACTTTATTTCACAATGCTGCAACACAAGTATATTATGTTGCAAGTTAAGAACAGCAGGAGAGTAGAGAGGAGGAAATCGCCTCTCCCCATGATTGGTAGATTTCTCTTTTTCATTCCCCTCCTCCAGCATCTAGCATCCGCTCTGCAAACGTGGAGAGAGAGGGGGAGGCAGTTCTGCTATGCTTCCTTTGTAACAGACTGTAAAAGCTGATGCCATCCAGCAAGCCCATTTAGTATACAGAAATATCAGAGAGCAAGGATAATTCATATAAGAAAAGGACAATTCAAATTTTAAAAAATTTCAAGAAACTCTGACATTAGAAGTGAAACATTAATTAAATTACAGCTCCACAAGCACGAGTGAACAGCCATCGCCGCAAGCACAGGAGACGGGTCCCTCAACCGCCTCAAGTTCAGTTGTTGGCTGTGGCTTGGAGGAGTCACCTGCACATGAGTAAATGAAAATTCACACCGACAGGATGTGCACTGCTTTTCTGAACTGAAAACGTTGATGTGCACACACGCTTTACGCATTTAGTGACATTACGCATGTAGTAAGGTGTTTGAAGTGTTGTAAAAAGTATTACATCAAAATATATCACAAAAAGTATTGTATGGGAAGAAATCAGCTAGCTACTGTCGTCCTTAGGTCGAAAAGTGATATTTTAATCTAAAGACAGGTGTATTAGCTGTGCCCTAAAAACGCAATTCTTGTAGGTCCTTCATGGATGCAGAGCCCATATCACCAGAGGAAGGGCTACCTGCTGAAAGGTAGGACTGCATTCCTTCTGCCAGTTAACAAGGCTGAAGCTTATGTTTCTAAAAGAAGTGTTTCCTCATATAACAAGCAATTATTGGTTCTTTTTCTCAGGCCGCAGACAACACAGAAACGACAGAAGAGGCGCAGATCATCACAGTATATACATTTTCTGCTTTTAGTACAACTTACATTCCGTAGCCGTTCTATGCAACAAAGCGAAATAAAAGTGTAATAATTTAAATGCATTTAATTGAAGAGTTGTTGCTTCCAGTACTGTATTGAAAAATGAAACATTTCCTTTTGCAGGGATGCAGGAGAAGGCCGCAGCCACGAGTTGGTGGAGGCCTGTGTCGGCCACCTTGGTGCATTAAGAGCTCTAAGAAGTGAATCAAAGAGAGATGAAATATATCATTTCTGCATGCGATTAGACTGCCGCCTCAGGGCCATTCCAAAAGATAGATTCCAGAGTATCATGAACAGTTTTGACAACATGCTATATCACGAAGAGCAGGAGTGCAGGGATCTGGGGCTGACCGATGTTCTATAAATCACAATATTGGTAGGCCTAGTGGAAATTTATTGAAAGAATTTTGGAACTGCTTTTACACTATGGGGCACATCTCGGCCAAATATTTTGAGTCCCACAGCAGAACAGGGTTGTAAAGTGGACCTAGGTACAAGCAACTATGTCGGTAGATACCTTGTTTATAACTTTATGTAAGCCACAAACCTAAAGAGTATTATTTATTTGTGTCTCTTGGTTACAATTTCAGTAGTTTGTCGCTATGACAAGGAAGTAAAACATTGTTCAAATGACCACAAACATATTGCAAAGACAATGTTGTTTAATTGTCATGCTGTGATTTTACCTCGGGGTTTCTTTATAGCAGTGTTTCCCAAACTGGGGTTTGATCGACAAAAGGCGGGGGGGAGGGGAGGGGTGGGGGGGGGGGGGGGGGGTCGTGGCAAGCTTGAGTTGCGGAGTAGGAGCGTTTCGGAAACACTGCTTTATGTGCAATATCATGGCGATTTCCATTTCTAAGGAGGCGATTTGTGGGCACAGAGGTTTGGTTCAACAGTAACAGTACAATTTTTACACCTTTTAGCAAATACTCAAGAACGTGCAATTAACCATATTTCAATTATCTATTTTATTTATTCAAGAAATAGGGTCCTTGTTATCTTGTAGTGCACAAAGAAATGAGGATGAGATAAACATTACCTTTGTTCAATAAAAGTATTGCAAATGTCGGCATACCTTTGTTTACTGTGGGCGACAAGCAACCCTGTCGTCCTGCCAGGGGACTGCACCAGCTGTCACAAAGTGATGCGCTAACTTGGTGCGCACAGTGCGAGCATACCTATAAGAAAACATTAAAAACATCCATATTACTCCGTTGTTTCGTTTCCCCGAGCATGGTCTGCTCATATGCTAAAAGATATGAAAATTTATAAGTGATTCTGTTAACAGCCTGTATTTCTGCATCGAGGGTGTATCTGTGATTATAGTGATGACCAAAAAGGAAGTCTAAACTTCTCTTTTAACATAACGGTGAGAACAGGACTATCAACACAATCGAGGGCTTGAAGCATATAGCAGTGCCGTCGCCTGCGACTGCATTGCTATGCTTCAATCCCTGGACATAAACATGTTTAGGTGGCAGGTGTCTGCTTCGAATAGGCTGCTACTTGTAGCCAGCTGCTTTCGAAGAAGTGAGCTAATGCCCCGTGCACCACCATGCAGCTGGGCTATCTGCTACATGCACTCTTGCACACGAGGTATCTCGGAGCAATGCTGATTCGCCTCAAATGGCACCTCCATGTTTGAATAATTTTAGACGGTAATCGGAAGGCCATTTCGCTGATCTCGTCCCTATTCATGACATTCACTTTCAAACGCGCAGCAGCGTGGGCCTCTACGATAAGGGCTGTTACCTTTGTACAGTGTTGCGGCTCTCCCGAGTTGATAAGCGTCGCTATCATTATTTGCCTGTTCCTCTGATACCAATATACTCTTAAAGTAATAAGCTCTATACCTTTAACTCCCCAGTTTATCATTATCTATAATTGAGATACTATTAGCCACATACTGTTTCGAGTTGTAGCCAGCTGCTGGTGCTGCCACCAGGGCAGAACTTGCCGGAGGGTCATTCCACCAGCTCCCAGGCTTCAGCCGCCACTGCCAGTCTTCACTGTCCGTTAAGCCTACCCGGCAATATGATGCAGCAGAGACGGTAGACTCCTTCAGCAGATAATTATGCAGAGCTACACACGCACCAATGATCCTATTCACGTTTTCGTCATCTGCCTTGAATGGTCGTCTCAGGATTCGCCACTTCTGGGCCAAAATGCCAAAGGTATTTTCAACCACTCTGCGGGCCCTGCTTAGGCGATAGTTGAAAATTCTTCGTTCGTGCAGCTCGGCCTTCTGCAAGGCTTAAGCCTCGGGGTCTGGGTTTGGGTCTAAAGGAGGCTGCAGACCTGCATAAACATGAGTAGTGCAAAATCATTGTGATGGTACGTGGTTCGTGTGTTTAGGGTCTTAATAGAGGTACGGAAGACACAGGATGCGTTAGGAAATATTTCACTATTGTAACATATACATAAGAAGAAAAGAAAAACCAAATATTTACACCGCGGCTATTTACAGAGAGTCATTGTACGTGTTGTCTCACAGTTTTCTTTCCTGGTCACATGGAGGGGTAGCGCCGAAAAAGGATGGTGGAGGGCTCGTCGTTGATGGGCTCGACGGCAGTCGTTGTTAGCCTGGAGCGTCTCGTTCCCGGAGATGTTGGTGAACCCGGTCGCTGGAGATGTCTTCAACGCCTCAGGTAGTCCAGTCGGCCTCAGGCAGGCCGGCGCCTTGACCACGAGAGGAGGCGGAGACAGAGTCGGGCCCCTGACGCCTGGTCACGTCTACCGAGGTCCGAACAGCTGTTCGCAGCTTCGCCTTCCGAGTCCGACCTGTGCTCGTGCCCTTCTCGAGCTCTCTTTCAAAAACCGCGCCATTCCTCGCGCATCTCTTTTCTTCCTTCTCTTCGTGGTAGATCACCCATCACAATGACCCCCCACCAAAGTTTTTTTTTTTCTCTGTCTTTGTCTTCGTTTGAAGTACAAAAAGAAAAAAAACAACATTTCACATGGGTAGATCCCGAAGTTCCATTTACACGTTCCGCCGCAGTTCGAACAAAACTTTGTTTGCAGTCCTAATTACAATGCCACACCCTCATTCAAACACACTCACCATACAAATATTGACAACCACGTGCCCCGTAAGGGTCTTCAACTCATGTCACACCCGGCTCAAATAATCAGCCCCTACATTCTCTACTCCCTTTATATAGCGAACCCGGAATTGGTATTCTTGTAGAAGCAAACTTCATCTCGTAATTCTACTGTTTGCTGTTTTCATCTTATGTAGATGTTCCAGCGGCTGATGATCCGTTTGGACTATGAATTCTCGCCCGTATAGGTAAACCTGAAACTTTTGGATTGCCCAAACTAACGCTAGGGCCTCTCTCTCAATGGTAGGGTAATTTTTCTCGCGGGCCATCAAGCCCCTACTGGCATACGCAACTGGATGTAGGTACGACGCGTACTCCTGCATCAACACCGCACCAAGACAGCTATCTGACGCGTCTGTCCTAAGCACAAACACTTTCGTCAAGTCCGGCGCCCGGAGAATCGGTCCTACCGAGAGAGCTCGCTGCAATTCTCGAAACGCTTCTTCGTGCCTACTCGTCCAACGCACCGTGTTGGGTTCCCTTTTCTTTGTGAGCTCAACTAAAGGAAGAGCTCTCTCCGCATAATTCGGAACGAACTGCCGATAATAACCCGTCAGTCCTAAAAAGGATCTCACCTGTTTCTTTGTCGTAGGTCGTTTAGAGCCTACTATGTTTTGTAGGGTCTCCGGTAGCGGAGCTAACACACCATGCCCCAATTTGTGACCTAGAAACGTGATTTCTCTCATTCCCAGTTGGCATTTGGTCGGTTTAACAGTCAGTCCTGCTTCGCTTATTCGCCGAAGAACTTGTTCGAGCACTTCGAGATGTTCATCCCAAGTGTCAGTGGCGATTAGAATGTCGTCGATGTAATGTTGTACCCCTTTGATACCTGTGAGTACCTTCCTCATTAGTCGCGTAAAGACGGCAGCTGCAGTCTTAATCCCAAAAGGCATGTATTTGAAGTGATACAAACCACTCTCGGTAGAAAATGCTGTTTTTTCTTTCGAATCGCTGGCGAGGGGAATCTGCCAGTACCCTTTTGACAAGTCTAGCTTCGAGAAATATTTCTTTTTCCCAACTTCCGCGAACACGTCCTCTATCCGCGGGATGGGTTCGGCATCCGGAATGAGTACGTCGTTTAGACGTCGAAAGTCAATGCAGACGCGATGTGACTTGTCTTGCTTCTTCACTAGGACTAGAGGAGAACGATATGGTGACGTTGATTGCTCAATCACTTTTAGCGCCAACATTTGTGCCACTTCCTGTTTTATCGTCTCCCTCGTCGCGAAGGGGATTGGGTATTGTGGAGTCTGGATAGGATCACCTGTTGTCAGTTCAAGCTTGCACTCCAACAGTTCTGTTCGTCCAGGCACCTCAGTAAATATCTCTTCAAATTTTTGTAGAACGCTCTTGACGTCCATATTCTTTCTCTCGCTGAGGTCTTCGGCCACCACCACATCATCGATTCCCTGGGAAGGCCTGACGTCCATACACGGTATGCCTTGCTCCGCTTCCCCCTCCTCGATAGCTATTATTGAGCACGCCTGATTCTTAACCTCGGTATCCCTTTCTCGCTCCTCATACTTTTTTAACATATTAATATGAAATACCTTCGTAGTATGGCCTAAATCTATGACGTAGTCGACTTCGTTTATTTTTCCTACTACTTTGTAGGGACCCTTCCAGTGCACGAGCAGCTTGTTCTTCTTGGCCGGTACCAATAGCAGTGCACTATCTCCTACTTTTAAAAGTCGTCTTCCTGCCTTTTTGTCGTACATCTTCTTCTGATGTTTGCTGGCGGCTGCCAAGCTCTGATGTGCCAGTTCTGTGGTTTCTTCAAGGCGATCCCGCAGGTCCAAAACATAAGAGTATGTTGTTTTAAGATCTCGTCCTAGCTCCTCATCCGTCCAGATCTCTGTTAATATCGTCAATGGTCCCCGAACATGCCTCCCATAGATCAATTAAAATGGAGAGAGACCTAGGCTCGCCTGGGGGACTTCTCGATAGGCAAACAGGAGTGGGGCGAGATACTTATCCCATGATCGGGGCTTCTCCTGGCACATCTTGCACAACATCTGCTTCAAAGTACCGTTGTACCTCTCCACTAAACCGTTACAAATGGGGTGGTACGGAGTCGTCAGCAGCTGTTGGACGGACATCATTCGAGTGAGCTCCCGCATGAGCCCCGATGTGAAGCTCGTCCCACGATCAGACAAAATCTGTCTGGGGAGGCCCACGCGCGAAAAGATCTGCAATAGGCCTTCCGCTATCTGTGTAAGAGTCACAGGATGGTAGCACTACCGCATCAGGGTATCTCGTCACGAAATCTACCATGGTTAGAATGTAGCGGTTCTTATTTTCGGAGCTCGTAGGAAGCGGACCTATCAAGTCAATAGCCACCCTTTCAAATGGAGTATTAATGATTGGCATTCGGCCGAGGGG